GGCAATAAAGTGATGTGATTAGAGCACGAGATCTGGAGCCCAAAATACTTGGGGTTTCATCCTGGCTCCACCACCAGCTAGAGCTCTCTCATTCCCTGTATGTAAACAGAAAGCCACGGAATGATCAGGAAAGACTTCATGAAGGAGGTAATAGGTGTTTGAAGTAACACTTGGGGATAGCTGGGAACCTGGGGCTTGGGAGATGGGGAGGAAGTCTTCCTAGCAAAGAAAATAGGCTAAGGCAAGGCCAAGAGGTTAGAAAGCACTTCTCTGCCCTAATGATACTGTCCCATCCTTTTCTGGGGCCAGAAGAACACAGAACATGGCACATGGGATGGACACACACACGTAGATGAGCAAGGAGTGGAAAGGTAGATCCTCTGAGAGAACCACCCACTGCCTACCTTTGTAGGCTGCTTCTGTGAGTGTGGGAAAGACTAAGAAAATAATGAGTTCATGAAATTAACAAAATATCAATGGAGATTATATCCTGATTAGATTATAGTGATTTTAATTTTCTTCCTTAAATTTTTATTTTTCTAAATTTTCTGCAACATATAGGCCTTCAGAATGATCAGAAATGAAGAACAATTTGAAAAAATAAAGTTGCTCCTTCCTGCTGAATTTTTCAGTTTCTGCATTTCTTTGCTCAGGAATCCTTCTCTTATTTTCCTGAGCCAGATTAGTACATAGCGGCCTCTGGATTAGCCAGATTGGCTGATTCTTCCCTTTATCCAGTTGGCCTTGACAGTCAAAGACAGAAAGACTGTTGTAAGATTTGTGCAGCTCTAGTGAGGTACTTCTGGTTGCCAGGTAGCAGACATCCATAATCAACCACAGCACTTTCTCCACCTGATGGCAGACATGGCTCAGGATCCAGGCAGCCGCTAAGCTGCCTTAGTGAGCAGTGAGACAGCTCACTGAGCACTGAGGAATGATCCTCCATTTGCCAATGCACGTTTAGTTCATCTCTCATAAATGGGCATATGTGAATAAGCTTAGTACACAAAGCATCATCAAAAGGAAGTATCTTATCGCAGCCTCTCTTTGATGTTCTGTGGCTTTCAGCGGCTGCTCCTTATCCACACAGAACAATAGTAAGGTAATACTACAGGTGGGGACTCAGGAAAATGCCTGTGTGATCTTTCACGCCGCGATCTGTAACCCGGACTGGAAGCAAGGCCGCATCTTCATACTCATTAGTGTTATTGGACAATTTCAGGGGGCCTGACATAAAAATGTTCTATTATTTTATGCAGAAGTTACATACTAGGAGGGCCATAGACTCAATTCTATGTGAAGATAAATTCTATTCTCACCATCTTGATGCATAGTGTTTTTAATATATAAATGGGCTTCACCATTTATAAAAAGGGAAATTTTATATTATTATCTAGATTTCTGGTAGCTGGGCATAGTGACTTGCACCTGGAGACCCAGCTACTCAGTAGGCTGAGGCAGGAGGATCGCTTGAGCCCAGGAATTTGAGGTTGCAGTGAGCTACAATGATGTCACAGCACTCTAGCCTGGGCAACAGAGTGAGACCCTGTCTCAAAAAAAACCCCAAGAAACAAACAAAAACAACAGCAACAACAAAAGAAATTAACCAGGTGCAGAGGCATGTGCTTGTAGTCCCAGCTACTCAGGAGGCTGAGGCAGGGGGATCACCTGAGCCCAAAAGTTTGAGGCTGCAGTGAGCTATGATCACGCCACAGCACTATAGCCTGAGCATCAGAGACAGACTCTGTTTCACAGAAAAAAAAATCTGGATTTCTGGCTTCTCTAGAAAAATAAATGGAATGGAATGGACAATGACAGGCACACTTTTCCACATGGTGACAAGTGGCTGGAGAAGCAGAGCTTGCTTCCTCCAGGACAGGGTACGCATTCTCCAGCTCAACTCAGCCTCCCTCACCACTCCTGTCCCCCACATTGCCCTGTCGTGCTCATTTTGATAACTGACCGGGTCCTACAGACCTTAGGGTATGTGACCTTTGCTTTGTAGCCATTTTACCTACGTAGAAAAAGCAGTTTAAAACTACTGCCTCCAGTCCATTTGCTGTCTCTATGGGCGTTACAACGGCTCTACAAGGCTGTGTCTGCTGCCGCAAAACAGAGGCGGTCCTGATGTCTCCTACAGCTCGTTACCTTTCTCTGTCTTTATCCTGAGACCTGGGCCTAAAGGAGCTCTGCTGCAAGCTCATTTACCTCCTGAAGGCTGGAAGCTATTTACAGCTCCAAAGAGATCTGAAGAACTCTTCACATACTCTTGATCATTCAGAAAGATATTTTTGTTTTGTTTTGTTTTGCCTTGTTTTTGTAGGACCAATTGATTTCCTGGGCCAATTTGGCTTTCAATGATCATCACAGTCAGATAAATGTTCCCCTAAGGGTGGACTCCGTGGGGTCACAAGTGCAGTTTTTACAGTCACACCAGAGCAAGTGTGTGTGCACGCACAATCAGCTGGCAAAGGAGTGCCGGCAGACCCCAGCAGGAATTCTGTTCTCATGTGATGAAGCATCATGGCATTTCATTTCTCTCCATGTGTCACATACGTGGCCAAGAACTTGTTCTTGTCAAAATGCCAGACCTGCTGAGAAGCTTCTGAAAAGATTGAGGAATGGTAAACTTCTCTCTAAAGCACAACAGACAGACAAACACTAACTTTGGTTGACCGGAAATGAGACTACACTTGGAAAATGATTTTGACCCCTAACTAATGGAAGGACTTACTAAATGATGCTTTAAAAGCTTTTATGGGTTTTCTTAGCCACCCCCTCACTCCAGGCTGAGATGAGCCAGGAATCTTTATGCTAAGAAAATATTAGAGGCTCCCAGGCCAGGTCAAGAAGCCCTCTTAGTCATTACTGACAGCCCCAAGCGTTTAAGACTGCTCCGTGATGAGCACATCAGTGGGAAAATATATACAATTTTAAGGTTTTAACAGACATCATAACCTTACACAAACAGAAGACACCCAGAGACCTGGGGTAGACAATTAGACCCTTGCATTACAGGTAGCTCTACTTCCAAGGCATTTTTGCATGGATTTCCCCACCACCACACCAAAATGGCAAACCATGGGTAAACATGACAATCAGGAATCATGGTTATTAAGCCCAGCTGCGCAGGCAAAGTCTTTTGCTCAAATGCCACCACCTCTGTGAAACCCTCCTTGATCCAAGATCAAAGATAAAGTCTTGCTCCCCTCTTCTTCTGAAGCACCTGATACTTATGTCTATTATGGTATTCATCACTTCGTATTTGAATGTTGCATCTTGCTCATAAGATTGAGAGCTCATCATTATGTCCTTGGGGCCTGACAGAGTACTGTAGGATTCTTACAGATCAAGAGTTTGTGAAAGGTAGAAGGGAAAGAAGAAAGGAGAGAAAAAGGGTGAAAGGAAACACAGGCTGAATGGAGCCGGCCTATTTAGTTCTACTTACCCCAAGGGTCTCAGCTCCTCCTCCTGGGTCTTGGTACACGTTGCATCCTGCGCCTTGAGTATATTTCTCATTGTATTAAACTGGTAAACTCTTGTCATCTTTCAAGATAGTTCAAAACTTACTTCTTTCAAGGCTTCCTACATCCCTCTCCCACCTACCCAACAGTTCTTTTCACTTCCAGCACAAGATTAGCTTAGCTTACCTATCACTTTGGGCTCAGAGATTTTTTGTTTTAAACACTTGTCTCTTCCTGCTAAATTGTGAGCAACTTTATGCCAAGAATTTCTGTTTGTTCTTTCAAGGAGTTCCAGGCATGCCTTAAGAGCTTAATAAATATTTGTTAAATGAATAAATTAATGAGTAGACATCCCTAACCCTTGCACCTTAACTTAAAGAGCACCTATCTTAAATTTTAAAAGTTACTTAGGAATTCCATCATGACCATATGGATTATCTACTTAATTATTCACATCAAACTTTAACTCTAGGGCTGCTCATTATCTAGGGAGTTTCCGGTTTCTGGGTCATCTTTCTCATGGAGCAGCCTCATTTCAATGTCAACCTCAAAAATAGAATGACTTAAAGGAAAATATGCCCCAAATCAGATCATTCCTTTAAAGTCAAATATAAATGACACTCTAGCAAGTTTTCTTATTTTAAGTATAATATTCATGTTATTTTTAAGTTGTTCCTATGTTTCTTTTATTATAAGAAATGACACTGGAACAAATGAATTATGGGTAAGGGACATAAAATTTAAATTAGATTATTCAGCCTTGGGTGGAGAGACTCTTTTAGGGGAACTGTAAGTAGGGTGACTATGAGAGGATGAGAGCCACCGAGGCTAGAAAAACAAACAGGCGTGAGGTCATGAAAGGCAGGCAGAACTTTAAGTCACATTATTAAGTTTGGGCTTTATCCTACAGGAAATGAAAAGACCTGCAAGACTTTCGCCAGCGTAATGACATGGTCAGATTAGCACCTGTGTGTGTCAGTGCAGTAGCATGTGACTGTTAATGCCAAACCAAGGCATGGCAGTGGGGACGAGAGGAGACATATTGAAGACATTCATGAAGAAGAGATATAATGTGGTGACCAATTCCATGTGAAATACCTTCGTTAGAATGTTTCTGATAATATAGTTTCTAGGACAAGATTTTCTTCTACTTTCTTTGTTGCTTGAGTAAATATCTGGTACCAAATCACAAATGTGGATGTCATTAAACTTGCCATCTGCTCTTTAAACTCAGAAGACAGACAATAAAGAAAAAAGGTGATAGTGGTATGATCCTAAGGTGGGTTTTTTTTTCTTTCTGATTTGTAAGAAGCAAAGAATTTCCAATGAATCCAATAAAACGGAATCCTAACCAGAAGTATACTTATCATTAATCAGAGATTTTATTTTGCACCATTGACTGCTTAAATTTTCAGTAAGCGTCTGAGACCAATGCTAAAACTCTGATGATATCAGGTGCACGGCCATTTAATCAACAATACAAGTGAAAACACAAAAAGGATTTAAGAGAAATGATCAAAGCAGAAAGCTACAGAATTCTACGTTAACAAAAGTTTTAATACACGCTTGACTAAAAGATGCATACAATGACTACTGAATCTCCATTCATAGGCAGCCAACAAGATATGAATGAATTTATTAACTTCAAACAAAATTTTAGATTGTGCACTTACTTAAAAATTACAAAGCACTTAAAAATGAAAATTAACTACGGAAGCAACAATGAGTATAAAACATGATGGGATGACTTTAAAGAAAGAGTTCAAGTATTGTCCATAAAGTTCTTTAGACAGTAGTCGTTGAAAAGTTTGTGCATTTCCCATCTTTGCATAGTAAAAAACAAAAACAAAACACACCACTTGGTAAAACTCCACAGCTCTATGTGATTCATGTTTTGTAACATGCACCTATGTGTACTACTCAGTTATCTAGTAGGAGTAGCTCTAATTCAATGGGCACATGCACTATCTCAGGTGAGCAATGAAGTTAGCGCACGTCTCCTCACCCAGGTGTCATTAATTAATGCAGCAAAAGTACAGCAGGTGAAATGGGAACTTGGTCATCACTTAACACTAACACTTGTTGGGTAACGTTAAACAGTGATACTTGTGCTTTGAGCTCAAACTAATAAAAAGGAATATCCACAACCATAAAAATTAGCAAATGAATGGCATGTGCAAGAGAAAATACAGCAAAGAGTTTGAAACTACATAACCTATACCACCAAAAATAATTATAATCCATTGTTTACGATTAATATGGTTGCATTATCTTTCATATTCATACACACATAGCTTAAAGCTTGTGTATTTTACATATACACACAAATAATTTAACATTGGAGCATAGGTTTGATTACCTATGAAACTGCCAATGTAACAAAAAGTTACACTGACATTTGCCATATGTACATAATATTTGGGGACCACTGTGGTCTGATTTGAAACATAACATCGCACATTGACAATGTTGTTTGTGAAATGCTCAAAAGTTAACAATCGAGATTTAACTTATTTTGTGACCACCATGGTTTTGTTTATATTGTCACCATGGTGCCTCTAGAATAGTGGTGAAACATGTATGGTGTACTTAGCAGCAGTTTAGTATCTGTGAGTGAGTCGGACCCAGCAACAGGGAGACACTAAGCAATGCAGCGACAGGAAGAGATACCAAGTAATCTGAGTTTCCTCCAAGCTGAAAGAGCGATTGCCACTGAGCAGAGGGATACAACCTGTGTCTTGTTAAGCCAGCAGTAAGGCTGAGAGACCTTGTAGATAGCCCTGTTATTACAAAATAAACATACAGCTAGTCCTAGAGAACATCTGCCTACCTGTGTAGCACCCATTACTCAGAAAGCAACAATAGGAATAAGATGTTAGGTGATAGTCTGTTGTAACATATAGAAATTAAGGTTTCTGCTCTATGATTGTGATATTTACACAATTAAAAATACCTTGGGGGGAAAGTCACTGTTTTAAGCAGTGCATCTTTAGGAAATAAGTCTTTCCAATGTCAAAGAAAAAGCTACAAAGACTTATGTCGTGAATCTTGCTGAAAAGGGACTTAGAGCTAAATCTAGCAACAGATTCGGTGTCATGAAGAAGTGAATAGTAAAATTCCACATTCTATTCCTAAAAAGAGGGCATTAGGTACCTGGAGGCTCTTTGGGGGCCTTTAGTAAAGTTTGTCTCTAAATGGATGCTCACCGAAGTGATCATGTACGAGTTTGTACATTCAAAACAAGGCTGGGATCAAATTTCTTTATTAACTTATTTACATAACACTTGAACAGAAGCTATCTTGACCATAAATAGAAAAAAGAAATCGGTGAAAGTGAAGGAAGCTCAGAGGGACTTGGAAACCTCAGATTACATCTGCAAATCTACCTGGAGGAAAAAGAAGACAGTGACTCTGTATACAGTGGAATCCAATTATAATCCAGCACAACCCAACGTTCAAAGATTGGACGCTTTTGCAAACACAACACATGGAATGAAAGCCTATTATAACGATGATTTTAAAACTGTGATTTCTGCTTCTGTCCCCAAAACCACTTTTATGATAGGGTTCTACCATATATACTTTGAGGCAGGAAGATGAAACATGAATGAAATACTGACACTAACAGATACAAATAAAATGGAAAGCTTAATTTTTCCCAAGCTTTCAACATTTAAAAATTATTTTTTTTTTATTTAAGGCTTTAAGTTTATCCTCCTTTCACATTAAAGACAGGGAAAGAAAACTGACAAAACCAAAAATTAAAATTATGAGCTTGGCACTTTTGTGATTACTTTGAAAGGGTGTCTACTTTCATACATTATATACATATGTTTATAATGGCATCAAAAAATTTCAGAGACTTGTCAGTACATATGTTTGAATTTACATAATTTTTGTGTTTTGATATGGGTTATTTTGTTGTTTGTGTCCCCCCCCCACACACACCCTTTGTCTATTTTTGGTTTCAAGCAAACCAACTTTAAATTGCACCTATTTTGTGCCCAAACTCCCTGCATCTGTGGCTACATCTGTCTTTTTAAGCAAGCCCAGTCATCATTGTACAGCATGGTACAAGAAAGAAGGACAGAGACAAAGCAAGAGAGAAAAGAAACAAAAAAGATGGGGAGCAAACGACAAAACAAATTTACAGAGAACCTTTACAAGAAAAATATTTCAATACAGACAAGTGAAAATGATGTGTCAAAATCTCTTATTTCCATATTTACATTGGTAGAAGAACTATACAATAGCATCAGTGTTCAAATTCCAGCTCCCATTTCCAAAGGATGCTTGGTCCAGGAGAAAAAACAACGGGGAAAAGGAGTCAACGAAAGCATGGTCCATGGAGTTGCGCTATGGCCTGGTCTCAAGCGGGGAGTGGGGGCTCTAGGGGTGGGGGTTGGGGCTTAGGGTGTAGGGGAGTGGGGAGGCATTTAAGTGAAGAGGCCCAGGCAGCTTCTGTGTGTTCCTCTGTCATCTTCACCTTAGGAATTCCATTTCAGGTTTTGCTGAGAATTGGCTTGCTAGCTTGTTGTTGTGTATATGCCATGCAGTTTTTACCCTTTCGAAAATTAGATCTTCATGCCACTGGAGTTTGTCATTGGTAGTAAAGGGAAAAAAATCATGCCAAATCATTTAGAAGATATTAAGTGCCAGCAGGCTGAGGGAAAACAAATCATTTGCTATTTTTAATGGTTCTTTTATTGCACTTAATTTTTTTTTGTTTGTTTCTTCTTCCTTTAATCAGAAAAAAAAAAGATTCTGAAACAGTTCTTTTATATAACATGGTCTTTTGCTCCCCTTTATTGACAGGTGGTGGAAGGGGTTCTTTGAAATTATTTCCAAAAGAGATAGCTTTCTTTTACACCATCCCTGTGACCCCGACTTTAGCTCTGTGGTCATCACTACCCAAGGTTCTTGTTTACACACTGAACAGTTCTGGCAGCACTGCCGCGAGCATGTCATACCCAGAGCCAGCAGTGCAAGGCGGTGCTCGTCCAGTGCCACCGGCTCAGATGGCGCCTTGTTGAGTAGGATCGAACCTCCTCTTCTTGACATTTCTTCCAGAGTGCGTCAAAAGAAGATGCAAGCAGAGGGGAGAAAATCCACAATATTAATCAGATGATGAGGAGAGAAAGGTGATGAGAATGACAATAATGCTAGCTCCAGAGCAAAGTAATCAACTCACACAGAGGCAGCCTCCACAATAAGTTGGAAGGGAAATAGAGCAGCTAACGCTTTCGAATGGCTCCACAACACCCCCACTAGGAGTCAGTCCTCTGTCCTTTTGTGAAGACCAAAGAAGGTTCAAGGTGTTCATTTTAAATCACAGGAAGACTCCACGGCCCAATTTGTCTCTTACTTCCGAAGTAAATGACATTGCTAATGCACTGGATGAAAATTATCACGGGAGGCCTCTTCCACAAAGGGGGCCGTTGGGAGAACTAAGGAAAACGGAAGGGCTTGTAGCTACCTCCCCCCAGGCCTCTAGAGCTCGGGATCAGTGCAGTGGCCTTTGCTCTCCTCAGTTATCTTGCTGCCTTGGGTGTATGAGCGCTTACTCCACCGTGGAACGAGCATTTTTCATATCTAGGAAGTTGTAAAACAGAGTGCACAGGAAGACGGTACACTCAAAGGAGAATGGACACAGGCACGGGTTAGTTAAGCAAATGCAGCATTGAGCTTAGTTGAAAATAAGCAAGTTCAAATGCCTTGCTCAGAGTGTCCAGTCTCCTAAAAAGTGGTTCCTAGGTTTGAAAAGAAAAAAGAAAGAACCAGCAAGACACTACAAGGCAACAACGAAAGTCGGTTGCAACCTCCCCATAGTCTGGCTTCATGTGGGGCACCAAGCAGGGGCTCATGCATTTAGTCTGCATACTGGGCGGGTGCAATGCTGCTGCCACCGGGGCGTCATGCAACACTGGAGACAAGGAGTCCCCAGACCCCTCCTTCCCCTGCCCACTCACTGGGGCCAGCTGATATACCCTTACAGGCCCGAAGTCCCAAAAAGATTACGATCAAGTCCTCCTCCCCCATAAGTAATTCAAAATAAAAACAATATCAAAGCTCAAAATAGGTATAAATGCCTCCTGCAAAATTCTTATTTTTCCCAAAATGACCACTTTGATGCTTCTCTTTTGAAATATCAAACATAAAAATCTTTAAACTTCCCTTTCCTTTTTAAAGTTTTCATGAAAATGTCTTCATGAATGTCCTATGCGTGTGGCTCATTAGCCCAGCAGGTAATCCATTGTGGCAAATACTATCTGTAGCAGTGCTATTTCCCTTGCTTCACCATTCCCACCTCGCCCTCTTTAAAGGCAATATTCCTGAGGACAGGCACTGCTGATGCTGCCCAGGAAATAGAGGTGAAACCAAAGGGATGTCTCCCATAACCAAATTAGTCTGCTGCAGAGCACAGGGTCTGCTCCAGCTCCTACCCCTGAAGGCGGAGGTTTAAGGAGGCACACTTGCCCTTGTGAGTCAGGGTTGAGAAACAGCGGCCCCTGACCTTGTGAAATGGCCCTGAAGCACCAGGGCCCAAACCTCACTAGCTACATATTGCTGGAACTCAAGAGAAATGTTAGACTAACGCCGCCTCAGTTACTCCAAATACAGAGGAAGGAGCAAACCAAGCTAGCTCCATGCCTGTACATGACTACACTGCCCACATCTGAATTCCTTCAAATGCAGGGAATGTCGGATAAATAACCATGTCCAAGGTCATAATAGCAATGCAGTTCATTGTGAAATGCAGATATGAAATTCCATTTCAGCCTGGCACACAGGCGACCTCCGGTGTGCAAGAGCTTGTGGTCCTTTTAAAAGTTGGTTTTCAAAGCTTGGGTTGCACTTTTAAAACAATGTTCTATAGGGTTGCTGGGTTCCCAGGTCAGAGCAGGGGGCCGAACCACCCTGTAGAACCATCTGTGCAGGGGAAGTGGACTGTGCACACCAACGGGGGACTCCAGGACCTTAGCTTGTCCGCTGATGTCCCGGCAGGGGGAGGGGGAGCTGCAGTACACGGGAGGGGGGCTTGGTAATGAGATGGACACGCCTGCATCATGTGGACTGCGAGGGCTCCTCACACATAAATTGTAAAACCACTAAGGGCCACTGTATGTTGAGAAATGCTTGTCCTGAATTTGCTGTATGAAAAAAATTCTTTTTGTTCAATTTTAATGTGAAAGTACAACCACTGTGGGTAAGTCTTTGCTGTTTTCCTTCCACAATCGTTTTCTCTGAATTACCCTCTGTTCCCTCGGATCCTGAAAGCAATAAACTTTCTCATCATAACCTGCAAGGTATTTCTGGATCATTATAAAATATCAGCGGAATCCATAAACCTTACATCTACACAGTTTTCATCAATGTTTACTACTTCTGAAAAATCTGGACTTTTGTCTACAATATATATTATACACATATACATCTATACAAAATTAAAACAAAACTCTTCAAGTAACAATAACCATCTCAGAGTTGTAAAGCCTTTAGATCGTCTTTCAAAGGTATATATTTACCTTCTGCTATCACATTCTTAGCATTCTATGCTGAGTCACCACCACTCCTGCTAAGAATGCCTCACACAGCCTTAGACTCCTGGGCCGCCTCAGACTGAGCTCACTTCCCTGGGGGGCTGAGTCAGGTAAATGCACTCCATCTTCCTGGCCAGCCTGACACCACTGCCACCTGCTTAGGTCAGAATGAGAAGTGCCTAACCTAGGAGTCCCAGGCATTCAGGGAATCAAGCTCCTTATTTTGTACTGGGACATGGTCATGGAATGCAGGCAAGCAGCAATCTGGTTATCTTACTCATGGAAAGATTAGCTAAAACGGATTCCATTTCCCAATTCTGTAAAAATCAAAAGCAAAAAAATCCAGACATTTACTCTTTTGAGAAAATATAATTAGCAATGCCACATTCTTTTAAAATTTCATCCAAATTTACACTCAATTCAGTTAACTTTCCTGATAATAATCAGATATAGTCCTTTAAATTTCATTTATGTGAGTACATGAGCAGTCTTTTCTTTAGCATGTCCAACAAAATGGAACATAGGCCATATAGAATCTCTTAGATTCAAAATCAGTCCAACCAGTATGAAATTGTAACTCAAGTAACCTCTCAGAGAGAAGAAACCACATGTAATAATTACATAAGCTTATGAAATTAACACCATTAGTGCCAGGAGTAGCTATGCCAGGCCAGTATGGCCACTATTGGAAGCCCACTTTGCCACTGAATCTCATGGAGAGAGCAAGTAGTGGGATAGGAGGACGTGATAACCAGGTTCCATAGACCAAGACATTATAATTTGGTTGGAAGAGCTCAATATTCATCCTCGAATCTTTTTGATTTGAATTGTCAACAAACTGTCACTGTTACCTTCATGTTCTTTTCCTACTATCATCTAGAATTTCTCTTTTCCTATCACCATCACCTACCAATGTGCATGTAAATAATCACCTTGCCCACATTTAAACTCCTATGTTCAAATTTAGGGAATGTCAAATAAATAGCCCATATCAAAGGTGACAAGGGCAATCCTGTTCATTTTTAAATGGAGATATGAAATTCTCCCTTCACATACTTTTCACCTTTCCTAAGCTTTAGGGAAGATCCTCCTAAAATGATTCTTCATCGACTTGATTTTCTCCAATGTCCAGGAAAAGCAACAGCTCCAACAGTCTGATCAAGCAGTGCTATAATTCAACACTGGGCATGTGTCACAAGTCTCCATGAATCAACCAGGACGGAGGTTTGCAATCCTCTGGACCACAGTTCATAATTTTATTCTGTGTGTGCGGTGGTGGGGAGGAAAAGGAGGATGGGGTAAATGGAAATAAATGCAGACATGGGGAAAAGTTGGACAAATTGGTGTGCCATGTGCCTTCGTTTTTCACAGGATTTCTCAGAGAAAATCCTAAGACCCTAGACACCTGGGAATCCACAGACTAAATCATCTCGTAGTATCCTCATATTCCCAGAGTATGGGATTAACCAAAGTTACTAAGGTAACCCACTGCATTACCCAATATGCCAAAATATGTTAAAAAAAACAGTCCACCAAATAAAATGTATTTTTTAATTTTCAAGAATTCCACAACCTTGGTTATGGAAGTCTTATTTACATTAACCAAAGGTTTCTGACTCCATTATTCCACCAAAAACAAGTAGGCAATCTAAATTTGTATTATTTTTAGGTCACAATAATTTTGATAAATCTTCATTATCACTTTACACATACAAACGTGCATATATTCACACATGCACACACATACATATTCATGCTTTTTACCACCTATTTCCAAGAAGATATGATTTAAGAAAAGAACCATAAAGAATGCTACACAATGTCAAGCTCAAGGCATAGCTGTATTTCTCATTTATAACTGAGCAGGCCATGTATGGTACAATACTTCTTCCATGTCTAAACTACTCAGAGTATTACATCTAAAGAGATGTGACTTTAGGAAAAAGCAATATTTTGCCTGAGCAGTTAATGTATTTTCCTTTAATCTAAAAGTTTACATGTCCCCAAATTCTTCAGGTTACTTTACCAACAGTTAGTATTAAAAATCTAATATCAGGAGGGTTTCTCAATAGCGATATTTAGAGCAATAATTTTTACAAACTATTTTCAATTTCTGATTCTAAAGGAATCTTTTTTAAAAATTTACATTGAACTCAATGAAACACCCAATGGCTTTCTAGTTGAACTAGCAAATAATACTTCCAAATTATCTCTAGATTAACAGTCTCCAAAACTGCCCAAGTGGTGGGAAACCTAATAAACATCGTCATTTGGCACTGATAGCCTTTTACTACAAGGTAGAAGTAGTTATTTAAAGCTTAATGCAAGCCACATAGCTACTATTAAAATCTAAAGTGAACTAAGATCCTCCTGTAGCAAATTTAAACTCCTTCTCCAAATTTAAACTCCTAAAGTTATATGTTCCAGAATTATTCTTAGTGTTCACTTTTTCTTTGCTTCAGCGCATAAAACACTTCACCCTATTGTGTGCCTTTCTACAAAGCTTTCCCTTAAAGTGATTA